CTACTGCTACTGCTACTGCTACTGCTACTGCTCCTGCTACTGCTACTGCTCCTGCTCCTGCTCCTGCTCCTGCTCCTGCTCCTGCTCCGGCTACTGCTGCTGCTACTGCTGCTGCTGCTGCTGCTGCTGATGCAGCTGCTGCTCCTACTACTACTACTACTACTACTACTACTACTACTTCTTCTGCTATTTCACCACTACCACGAACACTACCACTCCCACTCCGACTCCCACACTCCTACTCCTACTCCCACTACTAAGGTACTACTTATTCTAGCCATCATCAAAGTACTAGCAGTTACGCTGCTTCGGGATCTACAAGGTTTAAGGTCTTCCGGGGACTTGAGATTTTACGTGTAGGAAAGCGAGCGGTCGAGGCAAGACGGACGGGAAGTCTGCACCACAGCCCAAAGCCCTAAACCTTAAGCCCTTAGCACCATAAGCCCCAGACCTAAGCCTTATACTCATGAACCCCATGATCCTTATAGTAACACCCCTTTTCTATAGCCCTTCTAGGGGCCAATACCCCGTAATCAAGGAATAGAAATCAAAATGTAGAGGCCTCAATATTATGATTTCAGGTCTTCTCCTTAATTGAGGAGGTATCGGGTTCTCTTGGGCATGTGTAACTAGCCCTAAACCCCGGAACCCAGAGCCCGAAGAAAGGACCAGGCCTCGTCTCCAGTATTCACGAAGCCATCTCCATCGTCGTGGAACTTCGAGACGGTGTACACTGCCAAGTTCACCCGCTGGTTCCTGGGCGCTCTTGGGTGTTTTAGAGTTTAGACATTGGAGTTCAAAACCCTAAACCCTACACCCTAGGCCCTAAACCCTAAACCCTAAACCTCTAAACCCTAAACCTCTAAACTTTAAACCTCTAAACTGCTAAACCCTAAACCTCTAATAGGGTTTAAGGTACGAGGTGTTACGGGCGTTGTAAGCTATAATTGATCGCAAGGCTCTGGTGCCGGTATTTTACATGGGTTTAGCATCATAGGGTTTTGGTTCTCGGCCTCAGTTCTGTCATCTCTTTCCACATGCTTGGGCATGAATGGTGCTTATGACACTTGGGATGGAGCCTAGCCTAGCCCACTGCTATCAAAACACAAGTGCCGCGTACAGAAGGAACTCCTGCTGTAGCCAGGATTGGGAGTTTGGGGTCTAGGGCTTCGGGTTTCAATCGTGATATGAGGGTTTCCGAAAATAGGGGACCCTAATATGGTATCCTAAATAGTAGGATCCTTATTAATTAACCCCAAAAAAGGGTACCCCGTATTTTCGGAAACTCCCATATGTTCGTGACGACCTGACGTTTTCTGGCGGTAGCTAATGCGGAGTGACCCAATCCCAATGCCCCTGAACCCTAAACCCTAAGCCAACACACCTCTGCAACCGTGAAGCTTCGAAAGACTCAGGGCATTGAAGTTCCATGACGCAAACACCTGCAGGACCAAGTGAACCGCGGAGGGTGTCGCGGCAGGTGGTCTATGGTTTCAGGGTTCATGTCGGCTTAGGACATGGGTTTGAGAGGACTGATGCAGTAAAGCCGGCAACAATCGCTGTGCCACCGCGGCAGTGTGGCGATGATGAAACATCTTGTCATAATGATACCATGATGCCAGCATGCTGAAGGTGACGTGGACACAACCGACGGTGATAAGAGCGACGACACGAAGGATGAAGCAGATGACTGTGCAATGCTCCAGTACAAATACGACAGCACCACGGGCTCAGTGGTTTGACTAAGGTTGTCAACTTTCCTTGTTAAGCAGCTTTGTTGCTACTAGTAGGGCCATGGCAAGGATGCTAATGATGCAACACCCGAACACACACCCCACAATGTCCAACAATCCTAAACCGGCCCCAGAAGTCTAAACGCCGCATAGACCCGGAAGAAACTTTGTGATACGGTCTTCATCCCTGAACATGCTGAGTTCTTAAAGCCTATATATATATATATACATATATATATATATAGATACAACCTCGTTCCGCCTCCTGCGAAACTCCGAAGTCCTCCAAGCGCACGGAGGGCATTCCGATAGCCTCAGTGAGTGGTCATTAAGGAGGGGTTCACACCTGGCATCTGTATATGATAACGCCATCTTTCCGGATTTTCGGCGTTGAGTTTTGTAGCCTAGGGACAGAGTCCCTCCTAAGCAGAAAGAGCCAAAATCAAGTCTAATACAGGTATAGGATCCTCAGTGCAGCAGTTGCTATCTAAGGAAAGACGAGCAAATTCTATTAAAACAAGGTTTCGGGTGCCGGTTTAGGGTTGAGGGTTGTGGGCCTAGGGTTTAGGGTCATGGCAACCTGAATCGCAATGCCCCGCTTGAGAGTTCATGGGCAGATAGGCGTTCGGCAAGAAGTACCATACTTGTTTTAGGTACTATGACAACCTAAACCCAAAGCCCTAAACCCTAAACCCTAAACCCTAATTTCAATTTAACTACGGTTCTCTGCCTTAGCACGCCATCTATAACCGAGCTTCAAATTCCGAGAAACCCTGAGCGGGAGGCTTCGCTAAAGTATATGTTCAGCATCTTGTGATGACTCGAAAACTCTCTAAACCCCAGAACCCTAAAGTTTAGGGTTTAGGGTTTAGGGTTCCCCTAACCCCTAAACCCCTAAACCCCTACCTACCCCCTTACCCCCAAACAAAAACTCCTAAACCCCGAACCGTCAACCCTAACCCCAAACCTCTAACCCTACCCAAAACCCAAACCCCTACAAAACCCTCAACCCCTAAACCCCCTGAACCACAGGGTCGGGGCGCCTTCTTCCTCTGTCCCGTGGTGCCGGCCGATCCGGATATCCTCCTTGTGGTCCTCCCCTGGCGGCGAGAGCTGAGACTTGGTCCTGTGTTTTGTTGTTGATGTAAGGGTTTAGGGTTTAGGGTTCGGGATTTGGGGTTTAGGGTTTAGCGTTTAGGGTTTAGGGTTCGGGCTTTAGGGTTTGTTTAAAAACTTGTGCTTACCAAGCTACGATGACCCTTCTAGCCCCCCCGAGAACGTTCGTGAATGAGATCCTCTTCGCGGGTGCCAGGGTAAAGGTAAACTACAAAACAATCACAACAGCCTCCCTAGACAAACACACATAGACCCTAAACCCTAAGACCCTAAACCCTAAACCCTGAAACCCTAAACCCTAAACCCAAACCCGAACATTCGATGTGGTTCGCAGCTGTGGGTCTAAAGCCCTGACCCTGAAGCTCCTGGAGATGCAAAGATTCGGCAGCTGTAGGTTTTTTGTTGAAGTGCAATAGCCCCTAAACCCTAAACCCTAAACCCAAACTGCAGCGTAGGGTTTAGGTTACCACTGATGCGCAGTTGCAACCACGAACCTAGACCAAAGTTTAAAGCATCAGAAGCATGGGTTGACAGCCGCCGTAGACTTAATGCAAGAAACGGGTCAGGAAAGTGCGCAGTTCACCAGAACCTTGAATGAACGCCTCAGAAAGCAAGGGGGCCCTGATAAAGACAAACTCCACGCAAGTTGCGGCGATTACATACAGGTCGCCAGCCAACGACTCTCTTGCTCCAGGACGCCCAGAGACATGACTCAACCCCTCTGATACGCGTGCAAAAGGGCTTAAATAGAACCTGTAGGTCAACACCCATCATAACCTGCAATACACCCCGAGAATCCCGGACCCTTGACCGAAGATATCATAAAGCCCTCAGACCCTAAACCCCAAAATCCGAAATCCTGCGACACTGAACCTTAAACCCTGCAGCACTAAATCCTGAAACCTCAACCCTCCACGGCCTTCTTTTCAGCAATGTTGGCACCGTGCATCATCGACAGGATGCCAAGGTCTTCATCTCTCATGTCCTGGTTTCTGACTTAGGGATTTGGGGTTTAGGGCTTAGGGTTTAGGGTCTTATGACTCAGGGATTTGGGGTTTAGGGTTTAGGGTCTTGGGGTTTAGGGTTTCGGGTTTAGGGTCATATTGCGTACGTAGGGTACTGGGGGTTTCGGGTTTAGGGGTGACGGTTCAAACATTCAGGCTGTAAGGTATGAGGGCGTAGTGTTGACGGGGTTAGGGTTTTAGATACCAGTAATAATCAAAATATCAAATTCACTGTTAATAATGGTGGGATACCAACAATGATGCTACTCCTACTGATACTACTAACAATAGCAGTACTATACTATCTCGATTCGGGTTTTAGGCGAACCAAAGCGAGACCCTAAACCCTAAACCCTAAACTCTAAACCCTAAAAACCCTAAACCCTAAAAACCCTAAATCCTAAAAACCCTAAATCCTAAAAACCCTAAACCCTAAACCCTAAAAACCCTCCTTGGTTCTTGAGTGGCCTCTCCCTGATAAGGGTGCCCTTTTTCCTTGCCCGGGCCTGGGGGTCTGAATATATGCACCGCAGGAACATGAGCAAAATTCTGACAGGGTCATCTTCAAGAGAGGCTTGCACCAAAAGAGAGCCAATCTTTTTGTCCCTTTGTGTCTATGCTCAGCACTCCAGCGCAGCGCTCGTCTGCCTGCAGGCAAGATATTTCGAAATGATAACTGTTGAAGATACACTCAACTCAAGTAGCACGCAAACAGGTCGCCGGACTTCTTTTCGACCCGCGAGGCCAACCGCTTTAGCCTTCCAGATCCTTTACACAAGCAGCACTGACCCGGGCAATTCAAACTAGCATATGTGTATTACGGCTATGTTGCACAACACCCGGACCAGCGCAGCAAAGCACAGACTGCCACTCATCCCCACCTAAGTTGAGTTGCCAGGAACCATCATAGAGAACCGGAAACTCGCAACATGCAAGTAACAGCTTCAAAGCAATTGTGACCAAGATGCGTCGTGATCAGATGGAGGAACTGCTTATACGAGATGATCTTTCCAGGAAGTTTTTCATCACCAGCATCGGGCTTGTAGGAATCCCCAACCACCCACCAAGAAGCTTTTCGGGACCTTGATTCGGATAGTGTGCATAAGTTTACAGGTCGTAGGCTTAGGTTTTACAGGGCCACGGAAGGTCAGTAAAATATGATTAAAGTCGTAGCCAGTGTCAGTGCCTCTCTTTTGGATCGAATGATCCAATGCCGAAATCCCAGATCATCGGTCTCAATAGCAGAAAGCAGCTTCAGAACTGCAACTTGTTGTGGCAAAGTGTCATCGAAGCCAACCTGCCTCGGCATTTTCGCGGCCGGGCTCAAACGAAGCAAAGGCGTCAAGAGCTGTCCACGACGAATGCACTCTGCCATCCAAGCAGGGCCGGCTATGTAGCCTCCGACCAACCGGCTGACACATGCCCCGAGATCGAGCCCCTGATGACTTTCACTGCCATGATAAATCAAACCTGCCTCTGCCTCCTTGGAGGTTGCAAGAAAAATCACAAACTTTGCCCGCAAACACCTCGCCACTAGACTGCTGCTTGTCAAATGACAAACACGCAGCCCACAAAGCTGAGACAACGCCTTTGCCTTGTCTTTGACGATCTTGTCTGCGTTGGGAATCTCATTTTTGCTGATAATGCAAACGGCCAGCCCATTCTGCGCATCACCCAGAATCTCAGCCGTTTTCAGCTCCCGCAGCTGCATGCCGTCCAATTTCTTGAACTCCTCTTCATCCTCACGCTGAAGCTTCTGTAAGCGCTCACGGGCATCCTTAGCAAAAGCGGCCGGCGAAACCAAGGCCAATTTGGCTGTCACCCGCTCCGCCAAAGCAACCACCATCTTCTTCTGCCGCTTAGTGGAGTGTTCCTCAGCAGACGTGTCGAGGGCACGCTTCAAGGATCTCGCTTCTTCCAGCGGCAACTCCTTGGGCACGGCTTCTGCCTTCTGTTGGACTTGCAGGCGTTTCAAAGCTGCAAGTCCCGTCGAAGAACATCGACGGTTCATAGTCCTACGGGGCAGCAAGGAGGCTGGCGCATTTCTGGCTGCACCGAACAAGGAGCGGTACCTGTTGTAAGCACGAATCCCAAAATCACTGAGCTTATACTCCTTGCTCAAGATATTGAATGTGACGACAGGGTCACAATCAACCATGACCTTCAGAAGGCAACGAAGGGTGTCCGGGGACGTGTTGCGCTTCTGGTCACGATGCATTGCTCTGAATGATGATAAGTTCTGCTCCAGCAGACCCGTCCCTTCGAACATGCAGAGCATCACAACGACCTCGGGAGACAGATCAATATAGAATCATTGGCCAAACAACCTATGCCGACGCATCTCGCAATCTCTATAACCGAGGTCAGAACAGCCTCGCGAAGCACTGGCAGTCGTTTTCCCCAGTGTTTCAAGGCTTCCGCCCAGTACTCCATAGGAGATGAAATGCCCGACCTTGCTAGCATGCCCATAAGCAAACAGTTGGATAGCTCTTGATCCTCTGTATTGAAATTTCCGTGATGACGAGTTTATGCATCGCCGGCTTCCTCCTGCTTGCTGCAAAACCAATTCTCTTACAGATAGGATGGTGATGGAAGTCAAATGCGTCAGATTTTTAGACGATCTTATCCAGATGTTGAATATTCACTAAAGTGTCTGACATAAGCTTTGGATGGTGCTCAGGCAGGAGCTGTATGAGCTGCTCGCACGTCGGTCGCACAGCATTGATCTCTTTCGCGAGCTCGCTGCCCTCGACAGAGCGTTATTGCGTTGACTCACCCGCTGAAGCGTTAAATGCAATGCACTCAGGTCGCTGCAGAAGATCCGAGTAGTTTCGCGAGGGGCTCAAGCAGAGCTGGCCTCCGCAGGGCAGACAAATGAAAGTGAAAGAGTCTTCTCTCTGGTCGCAAGCATATTGAACAAGAAATCCCTGATGCCTGGCTGCCGCGCCCTTCTCTATATCCAGTGCACCAAAGCATTCGCCGATCCCAGCTTGGTGCTCCGCGGCGATGGAGCGAAGAAAGACGTCGGTCAAATTGCGAATGCAGCCCAGCTGTTTGACCACTGCTTCTTTGAACTCGCGCGCAGAAAGTCCTGCCCAAAAGGTTTTAAATTCATGCTAGGCAATACTGGGCACAACACCGATCATTTGCACCTGGGCGATGGAAGAGCAGCTCCCCGTCACCGAGGATGGCACAGCTGCCTGTTGGGTCACCTGCCGACGAGGTAGCCCAGCTGCCGTTATACTCGCACAAAACCCGAATCGTACTGTAGCAAGGATAGGTAGACAAGGCACGCTTCACCAGAGCTTTGCGTAGCAGGGCCACGAAGCCAGAATTGTACCGCTCCAAGTCCAACACCAGGGGTGGTATGGAGCTGTTCGGGCCACTGAATTCAAAGAGCTTTGTAAGCTCCTGCGTCGCACAGCATAGGAATGATTCAACAGAAACAGTACAATGAACCCGTCCTGCTGGAGCAATCGCACGCCACGCGACATGAAAGCGATCTGAGACACCTCATTCCGGGCGGCTTTTGCATGCCCTCCCCGGTCTCTGCCGCTGTTGTCCCATGAGTGGATGAAAGCACTGGTAGTCGACGACCATTCTGAAAGCAAGGCGCAGAGAATGAGGTTCTCGGTCGTCAAGGTCTAGGCCAAGGACTTGTGTGAATTGAAGAAATAAATAAATAAATATATATATATAATATATAAAATAGAGGACACTTTCTATATTATATATTATGTATATATGTACGATAGAATATCTAAGGTTCTTGTTTGCAGTTTGCGAAACTTTATTCAGAATTCCTAAATACTTCGCCCAGGAACTTCATCCAGCAATTTTGCCGCCCAGGCGGCATGGGCGCCTCTTGCAGCGCGAAGCTCGCTGAGGAAAGAGATTACAGTGTTCACCCGCAGGCTGACGAGCCTGAATGCCTCGGTGATTGTTGTGAAGCGCTGCTGCGCGAAGGTCAATGACCTTGATGCCTGCCTTACAGATACTGCGCGAAGAACACTTATTATTATTGAGATAATTGTTATTATTTGATACTAGCAATGGTATGCCAAAGCTGTCGGGGCACGCGAGTGTCCCCAGTGCATCGAGATCACGTGCCTCAACGGCCTGAAATTTGGTCCGCAGCAAAGGCGAGTTGTGCAGTGCCCGGGCAAGGCCTCCAGCACCACTGGAATCACTGAACCGGTTGATCAGCTCGCTCATGAGGCGCTCCGCGCGGTCGCACGACTTGATCGCATTCTCTTGCGATCGCTGTGCTGAATGCAAAAGGCATCTCCACACTGCCCGCAATTGCGGGAAAATGGTCGGGTGCGATATGGCTGCTGCCGCCAGCTCCGCTGGCTCGCCATCAGTGGTGAACACCTGATGCCAGGGACGCATGAACAGGGCTCGCAGATTATAATTATCCTCACGCAACGGCAAAGTCGACACAATCCTGCCTTCACCAAGTTGGCGAAGCGCTTCTGCTGCTCCGGCTCTGGAAAAACCTGATGTATGGCTGCCTTGGCGTGCTCGACTTTGTGGACCGCCTTCTTGTGAGCTGAACGGCTCAAGTCGAAAAGTCGCGTTGCAACTTGAAGGTCTTTCGTGACCATTCTGATACGAATGATTTTGAATCCTTGACAATCGTCTTCGGCCCACCCTATGGCGATGGTATCCCGTAGCAACTGCTGATCATCCAGATACGACTGGGAGGACATAGCACGGATATTCAGCCAGTGCTGGTCTGCACTTGATCTCTGAGGAGGGAAGTTGGCCTCATCCCCTCTTCCTGCCAAGTGGCAGCGGCGCTGATACCTAGACATGTGCGGTCTGCACCAACACTAACCCTGCGGAATCTGGGTCATCTCCACTACAAACTTAAAACATTGACAATGCTCCGAAGTTTCTCTTCACCTTGCGCTGAAAAGCTCTCTCCAGCCAGTTCTCGGGAAAGTTTGAATTGCGCCAAAGTCGGGAGGCCTGGGGCGGCGTCGTTCTTTGCTTCCTCCTCCCGCTTGCCCCCGACCAATGCTTGCACAGCAGCGCAATGGGCAGGGGTAGTGGCATGATCAAGCAGATCGCAGATCTGTAAAGTCGCTTTCTTGCCCGGCCTCTGCTACAGCAAAAGGAAACGACCCGAATATTCGGTCTGAAGCCTTAAGCCTATTTCCTAGACAGGCGTTCTGACAAGCGGCTGCACTGCTCCCTTGGATCCCACAACATATGGTGACGTGCCTTGCGGGTTGTGAGCCCTGCAAGCCGAGCAAAACAAACCAAATGGCCGAGCATGGTCATTCTCTTGTAGCCAGCTCATCGTCGAACCATCGCCCAACGTGTAAATGCACCGCGAGCGCCACTCTTTCTTGTGCTTGAACCACCTACAGTGGTTGCAAGCTGCAAGGGCCGCCTGCACCTCAGCACCCCACGTAAGCTCTCCCAAAGCGATCCACACAATTACTTTTATTTAGTAGCAAAAGATCACTGCCAGGGAACAGAGCCGTGTTTCTGCTGGCAAGCCCTTGCATGCTCAGCTTCGCGCGGCTCTGGCAATCCGCACTCTCCACGAGTCAAATTCGCCCACGCGTTGCCCACGGCTGCACACGAGCCCACTATGCGCGGCCGCCTCTGGCACTCCACATCCTCGGGGCAGCGGAATGCAAGCTAAAGAGGGCTGGCAGATCCCTGGAAAGCAAAAAAAGAACTTTGGCTGACAACCCGAACTCTTACTCAATGGGTTGGACTTCACAACGGTCTGCAGGGGAACCGGGAAACATATTGTCAAGCTAGAAACCAAGAAATGACCGGCAACCGACGACCTTGCAAAAATACAAAGGCCAGCAGACCCAGATAAATCTTCACTCCTATCAACGATTTTGAGAATGCCTCATCCTGAATATCATGTTGCCTGCCCACGAACACACCAAACCCCAAGAGCAAGAACTCACTGCTCAAGAAAAGCTGATCCATCATTCTAGACTTGATTTCGGGAACGTCCCCGGAACCCAAGCCCTTGCCAACAATCTGTGCGCTCCCCACCTCAGCTTCACCGACAACCGCCTTGGCCGCCCGCTTTTTCCCAGCAGGCCGTGTGCCCTCAGCAGGCGGCGCCCTCGAGCCACTGCTCCCGCCACTGAACTCAGGCATGGCCTAAGCCTATGAAGCCAATCCTGATGTGACAGAGTGTCAATAGTGTCAACGCATCATGCACTTAACCTAGTACTTATCTTGCCCAAGCTCTCAAACAACGAATGAGAATGGCAGGCATACATCAAGCTATCCATGCCGCAAGCATACCAGTAACCTTTCGGGCAAAATGCCTGCAAGGCAGACTTTGCTCAAACAGTGTTGCTCACGAACGATTGCAATGTGAAGCTGCCAGCACGCAAGTGAGAGAGACGCCGGCCTTCGAGTCATAACCGGCCCGCCAGGTGGCCTCGCGCGGCCAACGATCAAATCTCCCTATACGAGTTGACCCTGTCTGCTAAAGCACCATCATATAATACGTGGTTCGTTGGGTCAATCTTGCTCGTCATCAACATCCAGTGCTCAGTACTCTGTTCACAGCCAAGCGCCTGACCGCAGATCATCAAAATCGATGAATGGACCTGGGACGCATGGCAATGCATTTAACAGTCAAAGGAACCACATTTCGACGCACGGCCGAGCTCCTACTCCAACGAGCTCCACACCCAACTCTTGCTCACAACCTCTTCTTTTTGTCGCTCCACTGGTCCGCCGCTTTCCTACGGTCCTCTGCGACCAAAAGAGAAAACACAAAGTCAGCCAGCCACCTTCAACGCATCGATTGTAATTAAGCTTTGGTCAGTATCAGATCAAGAATCAAGACCCGGAAAGGGTGTAGTCTGGCTGCCCTCTCCAATGGCCAAACTGCTAAGACAGGGACTGGCCATCATGGGTCCATACACAATCATGCCAAAATTGTGGCCAGCACCGCAACGGCAATCCCGTCGCTCATCCGATTACAGACACCAGGCCTGGCGAGGTTTCTCCTGAATTCCCCTCGCCGTCACCATCATGCCTTGGGGCCTCACCCTCACCTGCACCAATGCCGTTGTCCTCGGTCTCCGAATGCTCCTCCTCAATGCCGAGAGTGGCATTGCTGACGAAGAATCGTTCATTGCCCGGATCGTCCATCATTCGAGCAACCATGCCCTGGAGCTTCTCCTTCAGAACCTGCATTGGTATTAACTGATACAGTAGACGCCGACCCAGAAAAAACGATCCATGCATCAACTCTCTTTCTTGAGACAAGCAGCCATTGCATGCTCATCACTTCGGCATACCAGGATGGCAAAAATGCGCATGTGAATCGCTTGCAAAGCGAAGTCAAGGCCATTTGGGCTTAAATCAATAAGCCTGCCTGCTGACGCTTGATGAAGAAGTTCACGACATACGCAAGGAGCCCTTGCAAAATGACTCAGAGGCACTTCTTCCGTGGGGTCCAGCTCTGCAGGGAGGGGATTCTTCTCATAAGCATTCGAGGTCTTGGACGGTACACGCAGCACCTGCTTGCAACAGTGGATCCCCCAGTAAGGCCCGCCACTAGTTCAAGCACACGACTTCCACTCAAAAGAAAAAACACACAGCCCCGCCGACTGCTTGAAGGTCATGGGAACCATTTCCAAGTTCTCCGGGTCCAGCAAAGGAATGGGCAGCCATCCCATACTGGAATCTTCCATCCTTATCAAAACCCAGCGGTCACACATACCAACCGAAACCGCTAGAAACGCATGTACGCACACGCCCAGGAATCTGCAGCTGGGAAGCCCTGGCGCTGAGATATACTGCAGTGGCTTGGCTGCTGGCGCGTGGTCCGGATGATGGCAAAACAAGGCCGTCTCCATGCCACATATCTTCGCAAGGCACCCGATGTTGTCGGCAGTGGTGCGTCGGCGCTTGCTGCCGCCTGCCGCAAGGCGATAGTTCGCGCGCTTTTTCAAGTCGTGCTGGCTGGGCAACAGGTGCAGGGTCACCGTCTCATACATTTTCTTCCCTTTGCGCATCTCCGAGTTGGAGGTCGCATTTCCACTGTCGAAACAGAGCAGCACGGCCTGGTTTCCACAGCTACGTATTCAAGCACTACACGGGGCTTCTAACACCAATTCAGCCCTAGGCCTCTGGCTTCCCACCAAGAAGGAGATCAAAGGTCTGTCTGATCACTTGGGCACGGTTCCGGCACATGCCAGGGATTCGTTCAAATATATTATGACTGCGTGTGAAGCATTGAGACGCTTCGGCTTCTTTTGCCCAATCCCAGTGCAGCACCAGCCGGGTGTCATTGGACAAAGGTTTTTGAACTGCTGTGTGCTCCAACAACACCTTGTTGAGTTTCGCTGCATCCTGGTGGTCATGGACCAGAGTTGATATGAACGTCGCAACCTCCGACGATGCGGCTTCTGCAAGCAGTCGCGCTCGCTCACGAACTCGACCACCCACTGCAGCACTGGGTAGCTCTGCCTCGTGGTCGCTTCCATCCACAGGGGCCTCCACTGGGGTAGCCTGAGGCACAGGTGCCTGAGGCTGCAAGAATCTCTTCCACCTTAGAAGCAAAGAGAAACAAAGTTGAATAGCGAGTGAAGCACTACTACGGTCGAGACACACATCCTCAGCTTGCTTCGTCACCTTTGCGATGGAGGCATGTCCCATACGTGTTTCGAAGCTCGCCGTCGCCTGGCCCATGACCACTCCCCAAAGCACCACGTCGTGCTTCCCAATCATGATGTCTTCCATGAGCTGCACACAGACCACGAGGTCACCCGGAAGGCATCCTGCTGGATTTTCTAAAAACATGATTGTCATTGTCATTCCATCAAACTGCATCACAACGAAAAGCCGCCTGAACCCCTGGATGTCCTTTGCAAGTTCGATCCCGCTCAGTGAAGCTCTTGACGCTGAGGCAGTTCTTCTTCGCCGCCTCAAATGCATCCTTGCAGGAATGGCCATCTGGCAGCTGAAAGTCGGAGTGGAGCTTTTCCAACCATTTTCGCAGCGTCAGCAGGAAGTCCACCACATCCTCAAAGGCTCGTATACACTTCCTCACGTTATTCTTGAGACACCTTTGATGTGTGCCACTGCTTTGAAAAGGGAATTTTGCTCTTATGCAACCGCTGCCACGTAACACATTGCACCTGCGACCGATGCGTCTGTGCTGATAACACACCATGGTGCACCCCAGTTATACTAGCTGCACGCATACCCGAAAAAGCCAGTTCCAATATCATCTGACCCTCTGCATCCCTATGCTTATACACATATCCTCAGATATATTTTGATGATACAGTCGTACACACACCACGCATAGAATGATCATACATACATACATACATACATACATACATACATATATTTATGTGTATAAATACATGTATATGTAGGGGTATGCATACTCTGCTATATAGCCGGGGCACAACACAAATCCATGCACTTCCAACTGTCACTGACTGTGACTGCTACTGACTTCTGGCCTACTATGATCCAATTCTTTCTGGAATGCAGCTTTGATTGGCTTCGCATTTTAGCAACTCATATCCACGGCTGTGATGAGGCCACCTTTAAACCGACAAAACCAACACCAACGTGCTGGCACTGTCTGGTCGTGTCTTGCTTGATTTGTAATAAGTCGTTTTAGTTCCACGAGATATACTCTTTGAGAAACTCTTAGAACATCTAGTCAAATCTGCAGAGATTTAGCCCTAGTAGCACTCGATCTCACCCCGTGGCCCGCCTTCAAGGAGCTCGGTGTCAAGAACCGGCAGTCATGATGCAAGTTGCGCTGGATCTCCTCATGATCGGCCCGCATGGCAATGGCAAGCATCTGAACCGTCCATCGGCAGTTTTCCGGCACTGTGCCCACGAACCCTGGCAATCGCTGGACCGTCGTCCATCGGCTTACCCAGGTACGCTCAGAGGTGATAATCTGCAGGGACCTCACTCATTCACACGCGATAATCCACAGAGTCTCAGACACGCAGACACACTCGCACGCAGAGATGTTCAAGAAGCTGCATGCTGAGCGACTTCAGGAGAGGATACACCCCTGCTTGAGTGCAGATTTCCACCAGCCTCAGCAACTTCCGTATCTGGTCCGGAGACCCAACGGTGGTCTCGGCGTTTGCAAACCGCACGACGTCCTTGGCTTTTGCCGCTTGTAGCTCTTCGAACATCGTGTCGGGGGTCGCCTCTTTTCCCAGCGACACGAGCAGAGCTTTCAACCTCGTTTTCAGTTTTCAAAGTCACTGGATATATGGATGCTACCGTTACCTGGCAACTTCGGGTCGAAATTAGCCAAGACGCTCCACGTAGCGATCACACAGCTTGCAGGCGTAGCCGTTGCCAACCTCGATCGCATTCTGCACCAGATCTTCGGCAGCTTGGTAGCGCTTCCAAAATCCCACCAGCGGATCAGCTTCTTTGACACGAATGCTGAAGTGAAGCGAAAGGCTAGTGGACTTGAATGCCTCCAACTCTTCCTTCGGCGCCTTCTGGTCCGCTTTCTCCTTCCAACTCATGACAAAAGCGGCCATTCTTGGCCACTGGGTCTGCAGTTCCAAGCTGCCCCTGGCACCGCGGCTCTAACAACAACACACGCAGAGGCATGCGAGAGGCCCGGCAGAGCGCCCCACGTGAGACCAAAGCTCAATCACAATTACAACACATGTCCTCCCAACACCAAAAAAGCCCCAGCCTGCCATGACCCGGACTCACCGCACAGGTGAGGGCAGGAATGTCAGTGGTGAACCAATACTCACCACTGCTGCGCAACATCTGCCCGGTCGCATTGTCATGGTTCTTCGTGAAGTCTATGTCAGCGATGGTGCCGATGAAGTTGTAACCCGAGCCGGCAGTGGACTTCCATCCGGAAGGGAAGCCTGAAACACCGTTCCTTGATGTGCACTTCATGGCTTCGCTCGGCCACAGGCCCATGTCCTTGAGGGCCTCTATCGCACTGCCTCAGCCAAGCATAGAACCTCCCCGAACAAGTCCCTCCAAAATCCAACATTCACGCACTGAAGCCACGTCACAAACCTCGCGAACGGCTTCTCTCTCCGGCACCGGGATGGAGTCAAACTCATCTGCCTGCCAATGCCGAGGAGATAGCAGCATCTCCCATTAACTTTAAATTTAGGAGCTTCTCGAGCCTTCTTGCCACTCAAGCTTCGACGTGGCTTCTTAGGTGGCATTGCAGCAGCACAGCACCGCCAGAGCAGGTTCCAGCTAGGGGCTCCGTTTGAACCCAAAGGAAAACTTGTCAGGCAGGAGCTGTGGTCGTGCACGAAGGGTGATAGTGCAGCTGCTACGACTGGCTGCCGGCCCGGCACCCCCCTGCACCGCTAACTGCCAATGTAAGCACCAGGCATCGTTGATTGAAATCGCCAGCATCCGCGTTCTTTGCCAGCACAGTTGAAGCCTCGAGTAGCCGAATATAGGAAAGCGTCTTTCGTCTGCAAGGGAGAGAAACGAAGAATAAGGGGGGAGTCAGGAATCTATGTCTTGTGCATCTGGGGTGCACACCCCCCTTGCCGACGACAGCGGTCGGCCCGACCTCTGTCCTGTGCAGGGAGGGGACCCACCCCCCTTGCATAAGACAAGAAATCACACAGTCCTTGAGAGTCTTCCAGCATCTTTGTCTTGTGCAGAGGGGATGCACACCCCCCTTGCTGAAGACAGCGGTCGGCCCGACCTCTGTCCTGTGTCAGGAGGGGGCACACCCCCCTTGCGGAAGACAGGAATTCAAAGAACGACATTGTCAGTGTTGCACCCGCATGACACTGACGACTAAGTGCGAACTGCCGTCTGATCACAATCTGGGGTTCCTGCTCTGCAGAATTGCCGGGCACGGCCACCTGCCAACAGGGCATATGGTTTGAGCACCAGACATGATTGGACAATTGTCCATGGTTTCACATCCACAGCTCAAGATGCCGACTGCCTTTTTCAAGCTCACCGTGCAAATGCTGCACGAGTGCCCAATCTCAGACTGAGCCTGCAAAGGCGACTGCCTCTGGCGACGGTGATGTTGACACATATGAATAGAATATCGGACAAAGCAGTAAGTTTAAACTCCTACGTGGACACACCGCCCAAAATGCCAGGAAGCAAAAGCACTTCAGCAAACCCACTATTCAGGCAGTCTGCGACTGCGAAACTTTGCGCTTCTTGTGAGCACGGCAGCTCTCGCAGGAGCACTGCGAGCAGTACTCATTGTTGCGTTTGACAGAGGGATTGGCGGCCTCTGCAGCTTGCTTGGCCGCTCTCTCCGCAGAACGGTATTTCGAAATGGCAACTTTGACCCGGGTAGGGCCGGAAGACATGGCCTGTGGGAGGCACCTCAGAGTCGCCTTGCCCATTTGAGGAAACCCATGACCTTGGCAGATTCAGACCATTACCTATCATGCACACTGACTTGCGTGGCCTAAATTATGAATTTTGGCAAAGGCACCCATCATCGACTTTTGAACGCCCTCCGGCAACAACTGCTTCAGCTTCTCCAAGTTGTCGGCGTTGTAGGCACCCACGACCAGAAGGTAGTTGTTCGTGTAGCTGCACGCGACGTCGTCTCCGCTCAGGGGACTCGACAGGCAGGACGCGGCTCTGGGATCGATCAACTGCGCCTCGTGTCGCACAATCATTCACAATCACACTGGGTTTTGCTGACTTGCAGCAGTCCTATGATCACTTCGTTGAAGCTCCTTGTGGTGCGTCAAGAGCTCCCTCGTAGTCCCTCCAATAGACTCTCCATCAGAGTACAGCGCACAACCTGCAGAGGCACAGGCTTTTGATCCGAAAGTACCAGACATCACTGCTGAATGAGCAGAAGGGCAAGCCTAACCTACCCAGCCTTGTGGGCTAGTGTTCTTACCACAGGACCACAGCATCCAATGAAACAGGGAGTTCGCAGACTGCACCGTCATGGTGCGGTACCCTCGTGGAGGGTTTCTCTCAATCGTGATCTTGTTGTAGTAGAAGTCCCTGGGCGTGCATCGAAGCTGACACGACACCCTATGTTTAACTTATGAATATAGAGAGGAAGTGTAGTAAGGAGCTCTGAACCACATACCTCTGAGAATTGCACGCCGCTTTGGAGCCCAGCTCTTTGGTAGCATGCTGCTTGATGAACTTGTTCAGCGCCTTGATGAAACTGGGGCAGTCCGCCATATACACCATGGACTCGCCCTCGGCCCCTGTCTCAGTCTTCTTCCGCCGATGAAGGCCAAACGTCACCGTCTTGCGGTTGGAGCAAACAGAATCAATCATGCCCTCCATCAAAGTATCACTGATCTCCTTCTGGGCCGAGACAAAGGCGGCCTTCTCAGCCGAAATGTCCTGAATCGCGCCCTTGCCCTTGCCAGAAGCCTTTGCCTTGCCGTTGCCCGTCGTCGCCATAATAGGAACGGCCTTGTGGATTGCACGACTGATTATTTTATTCATTGACTCTGCGTGATTCATATCATTTGACTCACAAGTGTAACCCAAGGCGCCTGAGCAAGCTGAAGCACCAAAAGGCCGTCAAAGGCAAAACTTAAGCGCAGAGTGCTGCAGCACGGGCTAAGATATACATATACAGCTCAGAAACACATTTCAACGCACTGCATTGCCATGAGTACCTTATGATTTCAAAACTGGTAATCTCTGGCACAGCAAGGCAGACTCCAAGTGCAACAGCGGTCACTCATTCTGGCGTCCTCGACGAAATCGCTCTGCCAAGGGTAAGACGGTGGGTATGCCCTCCACCGATCATGGCAATGGCTTCCGCTCAATCCACAGCAAGGCTGCTAAAGAAGCATAGGATTTCAATCTTCACTTCATTCCTGACATACGGAGCCTTCGCGGCATCACCGCTTGACATCCATTTTGGATCTGGCCTGTACACCGCGCCAATAACCGGAATAGCCGGAAGAGGCACGCAGAGCCTCGATTTGGGCTAAATGCCATCTGTCAGCTGGCAAGCGCTCGAAGAAGCCGAGCGACCACAGCAATCGAAGCAGCAATCGCTCAAGAAGGGAAACCGTCATGGCATTGCCAATGGCATGCCCGATCACAGAGCTCCGAATCCCTGCCTTCGAGATGGCGGCCAACAGTCGGTCATCCATACCTGGAAGCTTCGATGATCTGGGTTCTATCAGATTGAAATTGGACCAGACGAACTGCAACTGTGACTGACTCATGCTTTCATGGACTTGCGACCAAGTACCCTGGCAACGGCACATCTCTTGAACATCCGCCATTCGCCCCAGGGCAGGGACGAAGTATGGCGTTCTCTGGCCCCGGGTGGCAGTGATCGTGGGGAAGCGATCCTTGCCCACGTTCAGGTCGGAGCCGGCCATGTCAATCACAGACAATCTTCCGGAACGTGTACCGTACTCCTTCGACAGCCCCAGCTTCTTCACCTGGCAGAGGCAACAGCGCATATCCGTGATTTTTTCTAACTGATATCCTCATCAATAAGAGCGGCAGCATGCAATGCCCTCTGATGCGTGCCTTCTTCAAGTGATTCTTGAAGGTCTTGCACCGACCCTTGCTGATCTTGTTGATGTCGCCCCTGACATTCATTTTCAGGACCGCCTGAACAGGAACCGGATCCATATCTGAAGGGAAAACATCCTCCAGCGTCAGCTTCCTTGGCATTGCTGATTACGCGAGGTGCACAGCATACAGGCAAAATTAAAATTCGTAACACGGACACCGAATACCAAGCAGTGCTGCCAAGAATCATCTTCGCGTCTGTTCTAACACCAAGAATATAGAGACGTTGGCGATATTGTGGAAGGCCATGACGACTGGTCTCCATAATTTTGTATTCAACTTCGTATCCGGCTGCACGCAGAACATCAAGAGAGCGGAGAAACATCGGGCGGAATTGTGTATTAGATTGGATGTCCGGGACTTGCTCCAGGACGAAGACTCTGGCTTGGGTCCGGGCTATATTCTCCAACCCTGCAAGCCAAACCTGGCCTCTACAATCTTCGAATCCCTTCTTCTGTCCGCTTCGTGTGAACGACTGACAAGGATAACCTGCCTCGAAGATATCCGGGGTGGGCAGTGACGACGTCCGGCATCCGCGAAGGAACTTCAAATGCTCGTGCCTGGAATCTTCCATACAAGACTTGCAAAGTCATGATACAAGCACGCAAGCCAGATCGACACATGTGTACGTGCATACCCATAAAAATAACACAGTGCCGCCTTGTCACACATCTGTCATCACCCTGTCCACTTGGCAGCCGATGGACTCGTGCATTACCTTGAGCAAAGCTCGCTTGCTCGGGTCCACCTCCGTGGCAAGGGACACCCGAACCTGGAGGCCGAGATGCCCAAGGGCCTGCGGAACAGATCCTTGGCCCGCGCAGTCCGAAACCAAGCTGATGCCAGGCCCCCAAGGCAGCAGAGCAGAGCGTCTGGAGCACATCCGCTTGGCCAGCTTCTCCAGCTCATCCAGGCAAATCATAGCTTAGCCCCAAGCTAATTAAACAAATCTGGCAATCACCCTGAACCAAATCAGAGAAGAATGCCGGTGAGGCTGTCATGTGTTGGGCTTGTCTCGAGAGCATGCGAAACTAGCGGCTAGCGATACAGCTCGGATGATTTTTACGATCGTCTGAGACATCGATCATATCCCCACCGTGGGGCATTGCATTTCAGAGCAAGGCACCACGGACCGCGACATCCGCATGGATCTCTTGCAACATCTTCTCTGCTTCGGCAGACAGCATGGAGGCATCTGGCTCGGATTCAAGGAAGGCTGCCTGAGATTCTCAAGACGATATCAAGACCAACCGGCCTTGGCACCGAAGCCCCCACGCATCCCACAACAGACAGGACCTATATTACTATTAGATAACTTGTCTTAAAGACCCTAGGGCACCGGAAACCAGCATGCGCAACGAAGAAAACGAACCAGTGACTCAAAGAGGAATGAGACATGCTTAGCATTGTAG